AGTAGACCTACTGTAACAAATGTGAAAATGTAGACATGATATTTATGTTGCCTTAAACATTTGTTTGCCGACATGTTGTGAAGATTTATGATAAAACATTTATACTCTCTATGATGTTGATTATAAATCCCCAAAAAACTCAGTTAAGTTGTGGATAAACTGTGTTGTATGTTTGTCCTGAAAAGTAAAAAGCTCTATTTTTCTTGATTACTTCTGAACCCAGCATTATCCTCCCATCACTTCCTGTCGTCTTCTTTGTCTCCACCTCATCGTAGCACAATTTTTTTTTTCAGAAAATATTCATCCTTTCAAAATTGCCTTGTTACTATTAAGCAAATTTGTTTTTGTTGTTCCAATTTCCGCAATTTTATGGTAAATGGAAACACAGCTGGTGTCACCACCAACTAAACCTTTAACGTGACCAGAATTATCAATATTTGCTAAATGGCAGAAAATTAGGAGAGCATTTTTTCAATTCTTCTAATTCACTTTAAACACACTGCAGTTGTAGAGTTGTAGTCTTCCAAGAGCAGACTACAACTCAATTTGAATTGAGGTTAGCGCTTTAGCATCAGCTTCCACCACATACCACATTTGCATAGCACTTTAGCGGAACTATTTTTGTTTAATGCTGTGGGTTACAGTGACTAGCAGTGCCAGACGAAATCATAAAAAATCAGAAAGGCAAACTGAAAATGTCGATGTCGAAGCATTTTTGTTGTGGATGCCACTGTCCAGTTTGACTCCAGCATTGATCTTGGTGCTATCTGTCCATGAAAATCCTCTAACCAATCTTTATGTGTGGATATGATAGAAATGATAAAGTTTTGATTCTAACATGAAAAAACGAGTGAAGGCACAGGGATGTGAATATTCTTGCAGTACAATTTGTGTATTCTCTCTGCCGCTGAAGGGAAAATCAGAGCAGCTTCATACTCAGACTGTTTTAATTGCTTACATTAGACTGTCATGAACTGCAGACAGAACCTACAGCGAGAGACTGCAGGCTTCACTGTTTTCCAGACACGTTTTGGACCGAGAAAGGACTCAGAGCAGCGTGACAGATTGCAGAGGAAGCTTCGTTTTTCCAGCATGACCCTTTTTACTGCGTTTTCTGCCATGACAGTGTTGCACATCAATACTCTGCAGGATGTTAAAACCTGATCATTCCAAGTTTAGCTTCCTTCCTTTGGGAAAAAAAAACAAAAAAAACATAACATTTGAAGATGTTGGATTACTTTGTTTAATTGTTAAAGGACATGAGTTATAAGCAATTCCTACTTCACTCTATCCATGACTGCATATTAAGCACTTGTTATTGTTCTACTTTGCAATGATTTGATTAGTGCTTTATGTGTCATATTTTTCACTTTCTCATTTTCTTTGTAATGGTCATATTATGATCTTCTATGTCTCTGTGTGTCGTGCATGTCAAAATTAAAAATCTACAAATAAAGCTTAAGCACTTGCATTTGAATGAAATTTTTTATAGAACTTGTTTTGGGTCAGCATTTATTTATTTTTTTTAACATTTAACAAAATAAAGCCCCATTTAGATGAAGACCTCTTTAACAAGGATAACGTGGCCAAGAAAGACAGCAACATACATCATAATGGAGAAAACAAATAGACAGCAACAAGAAAAATAGACATTTGAAATATTTTTGAAAAAATAAATAATCTGTATTTGAGAAACAGATGAATCTGTCCAGGAAATAGAAATCAAAGCCATCAACCATGAGGTCCAGAGGGCCGAAACTTCTATCCTCCAATCCTCTGGAAGGAGTGTAGTTACTTTTCTGCCCACATGAGGGCAACACATCACCCACTAAAATCTGTAGCACAGGAAACACTCCCAAATATTACAACATTTTTTTGTTCCAAAAGAGAAAAAACAAGGGATGAAATGCATGGTTTGGTATAAAACACGCATTAGATGTCTTTAGGTTAATCCATCAAACAGGATTGGAGCAGGCAAGAGCTTAAGGTCTGTGTTTGGATGGAGGAACCATCGACTCATCCTCACTGCCAGACTACCAATGGCAGCTGAGACGGAAACGGGTGGTGGTGGTGGTGACGGTGGGAGTGAGGGTGGTTGGGGAAAAGGGCCTTTGCCAACTCTCTGGCTCCGTCTCTCGAAGCCCTGCCTCCCTCAGGCCACTCACAGCCAGCGTAGGAACATGGCCAAACGCTGTCAAATATCAGCACACACTCACTGTAGCTATCTGTACACACACACACACACACACACACACACACACACACACACACACACACACCACACACCACACACACACACACACACACACACACACACACCCACACACACACACACACACACACACACACACACACACACACATGCTCCAGGACTGTTTTTCTCCTCCCTCTCTCTATGTGCAGGTGGCTACTTTAGGAGCGGTGATGAAGAGCCCAGACACACCCCAGTTTGCATAAATTAACTAATCATCGCAGAGAGTGTTTCTTCTGAACAATTTAAATGTTGTATCAAAACACTTCTGGCTAGAAGGAGCTGTGATTACCCGACTCTGTGAACGACTCCAGTTAACCGCTGAGGGATCGTTGCAGCGTTCTAAAACAGGCCTCCTGTTTGCTATAACAGGTCATATGCATGCAATAAATAGCGGAGCAGTTCAAGGTGAATTTCCCTGGAGAACTAAGCAATTACACTTTCCTGGAGTGACAGGGAGCCCATTTCATTTGAAACAGAGTGTTCTTCATCAGTATGTGGCATGTGGGAATTTTTGCAGTCCATCAGTGGGTGTCCATTTAGTATGGAGGGGTCACATCTTTATAGCTTGTGTGTGTTAGCACACTAATAATTGACTTTCGGTCAATTTAACACATTCATTTGTTCCTATTTCTATCTTGTAGCTAAGTGTTACAATTTCATCCCTCGACTATTAGGTATATATGGTGTGTGCCATTTTTTGACACACACCAAAAAATGACAACATGACCCAGCTGTAGCTGGGTCATGTTGTTGTTTTCACTGTGTTTTTGCAGAAAGAAGGTGCTGATCCAGGTTTCTTCATAAAGTTTGCATGTTCTCCCCATGTGTTGGTTTTCTTTGGTTGATTGGTTTCTAAACTGCCCGCTTCAGTTTTTAGTTCCGTCTTTCTTGTTGTCATCCTGTCATCCTGGACTGGTGGGCTGTCCAGTGCGTACTCCGTCTCTTGTCCAATGACAGCTAGAGACAGGCCATGCATATAGACAATGAGTGAATAGTAAGTTGAAGACATAACAGTCATCAAAATGCTGATGAATTATTCTATGAATTAGTTTAGTTTTATAATCTTCATAAAAGTTTGTATTACACCACTGTCCCTGGTTTCTAATATCAAGGTATCCCCACTTTTCAAACAGTTGTGACTTCAAAATCACTACAACTCTCCATTGCAGTGTTTCTGTTATGACAGAAAAAGTTCTAGTCTGGCAACGCAATTCTGCTCTATTCTTCTTCTGTTCCAATCAGTGTACAGACGCAGGAATTGTGAACGATTTTCTGCGCTCTTTTAGAAGTGAATGAAGCCGTTGAATCTGTTTTGGCCACCCTTCAAAATATTGAACAATTAAAGTCGGAGAAAGAGAAATGTTAAAGATGTTTTATTATAAAGATTTTGTTCGGCTCGGCATTCTTCTCAGGAGAGGATGGTTGGTTACACGGTTTCCAGAAAGCTCCATCGGTTGAACCGGTATGTTACTTGTGTCACAACCAAGTAATGCTATTGGGTAAAATCAGATCCAATCATTTAAAACTACAGTGGCATTTAAAACTCAGTTTACATGCGACTCTGTCAAACATTTTATGTGGTAGTGTAGTAAAACTACTGGTCAAATGAAGATCCACTCATGCCGCCTCCTCTCAACACAAATTTTCTGCCACACTTATCTCAAGTCTCCATGTACAAGTCAGAACCAGAAAGAGTTAAACCACTAAAGGTCACAGTTATTATCTGTGACCTTTTGAAATTTCAAATAATAGCATCTGCCTAGAAAGTGTTGCGTTGTGACCTACTCCCCTCCACCCTCAGTGCTTCTTCATCCATCATCATCGGCAGCGCCAATAAACGCATCTACGACCACGGCAGTAAAATCCCTACTTCCCTCCTGTCACTCCCTGCCTGGCTCCTGTCTGTGCGTCATTTTGGCTCCGCCACCTGTTGCAAAAGGAAACCAGAGGTAAGGAGCTTCCGCTGAGCCTATTGGGTTTCAGGTAGGCTCCCGCAGAGAGAGGGTCTTTGGTGTCGACACTCCGCTGGGGCAGGGGGGACAGGCGGGAACCCCACCTGGAGGGAAGTCATCTCCTCTCTTTCTTCACTTTGTCACACCTGTCTTCCTTCTATGAAAACGCACAAAAATGATTGAGGGAATAAAAAAGAGCAGTGAAGATTGACTGAATCCCACCATCTCCTCCTCAGTTTTCTCCGACTGCAGCACTCCACAATGCCGTCCCCTTTCCTCCCCCTCCACTTCCTCCTCCTCCTCCAGTTGGTTCCTCGCTCTCTCTGCTCTCGTCTGTTTAAAATGCAGCTCATGCACATGAACGCACGCGCGTACAACCCCCCCCGGTTCATGGTCGCAGTCAGAGCTGTGACCGTGTGGCAGCTTTTCTCTCTCTCCTAACCCAACATCAAGTCCATCCAAACCGACGCATACTTTCCTACTTGCTTCTTGTGGTAGGCTGGAAAAAATTAATAACACTAATAAGGTTAATGCAGAAAGAGAAAATGAAGAGCAACAACTGAGATCTAAATGCACATGAAGAAATGCAGCCATTAGAAGTGTGCAGTTGACATAATAAATCTGTTTCAAGGTCTGAGGGTTTTTTTCTCCAGTTTCTAAGACAGACCCCCCTCCCCCTCCCTTTGCTTCCCTCTTTCCCTCCTCTCTCTCTCTCTCTCTCTTTCTCTCTCTCTCTCTCTCTCTGTCGCTCTCTCCACATCTCTGCACTCTCCTCTGTCAGTCGTGTGGGAAGCTCCATGAATGCGGCTGCACACTGGCAGACTTCTGCACCTGATCCCGCTGCGCCTCTATAGGACGAGGTAATGCAAACCTCCTCTCCTCCTCCATGATCTCCAATCTCTTTTTCTGGATACAAATACATATTTTTTCCTTTTTAATCTAAGAGGAACGCTTTACCAGTCCTCCAATTTCCTCCCATCCGCTGCGCTCTCTGACTGGGGGGGAGGGATGGAAGGGACAGTGAGAGCACGGACTTTCCTGCACCTATTTTGCACCGGAGCGGACTGAAGGCTCAGTGACAAGTCATTTCTTTTTGAAACATGTCTAATATGTAGTATTGGCCTCTCATTATTTTAACTCCTGACTGAAACACCAAGAACAACGTTGGAAATATGTTGCCAGGATGGAAAATAACCCACAGTCTGACTGGAGCGCCTTGGCTGCTCCTTACCCCTTTGCACAACTTCAGCTCATAACGACCCAGTATTTATTATTCCATGGATCGCTGAAGGTTGCGGTGCATCTCTGAATCCAGGCGCACAGTGTTGGAGCCTCCTTCCTCCCCTGTTTTGCGTTGGGGGAAAAAAACCCTTTGAGAATGAATGGTTATCTGGCTGCATGCACCTTGCACCCTTTTCCTTGCTTCGGAGTCTCTGGACGCGCCGTCAACATCTCTAAAGGTAAAAAAAAAGGCTAAAGGAAAGAGGGGGAAGATCTCTACTTCACCATACTTCTGTGCTCTTTTCGCCTTTTCTTTGAAAGCAAATGAGCCCTCTCCCATGGAGGTAGTACAGCCGCTCTGGGGGCCCAATGACCAGCGGGGAGATTTTTCCAAGCAAAAGGAGCCCGTCAGCAAGAGGCGCATCGGATGAAATCAGACCCCCGCACCCTCCCTATTCACCCACCCCACTTCCTTTTCCTCCTCTGTTACTCCCCACCCTATCTTCTTCCCTATTCCTCCTTCTAGTTTAGCTTGAATTGTGTTAAAGCTGCACAGGGGCATAAAGAGCTAGAAAAACCTTGTTGCACCCCCTCAAATCCATCTGCGCTCTTACACTCGAGCTGGAAGGACTGTTTTGCGCACGTCTCCATCAATGCTGCCCCAAGTCTCCAGAGGGAGCCGCGCTCATTGCCACCGCAGCTTTTGGTAAGTCACTTTTTTTTTCTTAAGATTCCCTGATTTGAAGATAACCCAGACCCGTCTTTTCTTTGGTCACTCTTAAAGGTTCTAAATTACCTCAGTAGATTTTGACTAAAAGACTGGAGAACGGTCGCATCCAAGCATCTCAAAATTTCATTAATAGGCACAGACCCAGTTCTTTCTCCGTTGACTTTACATTGCCAAATAAGTCGTGTGGTGCTGGCTTTAGATGACACTTCATGCAAAATGAGAGCCTTTTGACTTTGATCATGTTGAATGAGCCAAACAGTCACGCTGCTGCCTTTGACATTTTTAAGGCGACGCATCACGCTTTGGGTGCCAGAATAAGACGGGAGGATCTGCAGCATTCATTATGTTTAAGTGATCAAGATAGTTTTAGTCAGCCAATGAAAATTAAGGCAATGCAGAACATTAAGAAATGCTACACAGCAGTGTTTTTTTTCTCATGGAATATGAAGAAACTGTCTTCTGATGAATGAGATGCCAGAATTGTTTTATGATGAGTCTCAAATGGCTTGCATTTTGTGAGTGTGTGCTTCCACACATATCTGCGCCTGAGTAATTGACTGTTTTTTGCATGCCACTCTTTTTCTATCTCTCTCCAAAGGTTACTAAATGGTTTACTGGGGGAGGTTTTCTAACCGGCGAGATGCTGCTCGTACCCCTGCTGGCAGCCTTTTTTTCCTCCATCTCGGGCTCCCTCTCCTCGTCCCTCTCCTCCATGTCAGACGGACCTCCGATAATGAACCCCACTGCCTCGGACCTGATGGCCGAGACCTGCATCGCCTGCTCTTGCATGTCGGTGGAGAACGTGCTGTACGTCAACTGCGAGAAGATCACCGTCTATCGGCCCACACAGCTCATCCCTCCGGCCTCCTCCCTGTACCACCTGAACTTCCAGAACAATTTTCTGATTGTGCTGTACCCTAACTCGTTCCTCAACTTCACCCACGCTGTGTCACTGCAGCTGGGGAACAATAAACTGCAGAACATCGAAGGTGGCGCGTTCATGGGGATGAGCGCGTTGAAGCAGCTGCACCTTAACAATAACGAGTTGAAGGTGCTGCGAGCTGACACTTTCCAAGGCATTGAAAACCTGGAATACCTTCAGGCTGACTACAACTTAATAAAATACATTGAAAAGGGAGCATTTAACAAACTACACAAACTCAAAGTGCTGATTCTGAATGATAATCTCATACAGGCACTTCCTGAGAACATTTTCCGCTTTGCCTCTCTCACACACTTGGATATAAGAGGAAACAGGATCCAAAACCTTCCTTATTTAGGAGTCCTTGAGCATATCGGCCGGATCGTAGAGCTGCAGCTTGACGACAACCCCTGGAACTGTACCTGTGATTTAGCACCTCTGAAAGCGTGGCTTGAAAACATGCCCTACAATATTTTTATCGGCGAGGCCATATGTGAAACACCAAGTGACTTATATGGGAGGCTCCTGAAAGAAACCAACAGACAGGAGCTTTGTCCCATGGGAACGGGAAGCGAATTTGATATTAAGATGCCACCTGCACAGCCTGAAAATGGGCAGGGGCCATCCACAATGACACCAACAACAGCGGCTCCAAAACTGCCAAAAACAACCGACTCGTCTAAGTTTTATGGAAACGGCATTGTGGCTGGTTTACCCCCTTTTGGCAAAAACAGAGAGAATGTTCCACGGACTCCCCTAATGTTGTGTCCACTCCCTTGCAGCTGCAAGGCCCATCCCTCTGACTTTGGTGTCAGTGTAAGCTGTCAGGAAAGGAGTATAAGAAATCTTGCTGATCTTAATTCCAAACCCCCAAATGCCAAGAAACTTCATCTAAGTGGGAATTACATTCGTGATATCAGCCCAACTGATTTCCAAGGCTTTGAGGGTTTAGATTTGCTTCATCTAGGCAGTAATCAAATTGCAGTGGTACAAAAAGGTGTATTTGCTAACCTTACTAATCTGAGGAGATTGTATTTGAATGGAAATCAACTTGAACAGCTACACCCAGAGATGTTTCTGGGCCTCACAAACCTCCAGTACCTTTATTTGGAATACAATGCCATTAAAGAGATCCTTGCAAGCACATTTGACTCTATGCCCAATCTACAACTCCTGTATCTCAACAACAATGTTCTTCGGAGTCTCCCAGCCTATATCTTTGCTGGTGTCCCTCTAGCCAGGCTCAACTTGAAAAACAACCACTTCATGACATTGCCAGTGAGTGGTGTCCTGGACAATCTGCGGTCGCTGACCCAGATAGATCTCGAGGGCAACCCATGGGAGTGCTCCTGCGATCTGGTCGCCCTCAAGCTTTGGCTGCAGAGGCTCAGTGATGGAGTGGCTGCAAAAGAGGTGAAATGTGCCTCCCCTGTGCAGTTTGCAAACATTGAGCTGCGTCTGATTAAAAATGAGATTCTCTGTCCTAAACTCACGACACCTCCACCTATCTCAAGCTCTACCCCAATTGTGACCTCGGTATCACCCGCAGGAGTTGGCAAGGCACCTCCCGGAGGACCTGTGCCTCTCTCCATTATGATCCTCAGCATACTTGTGGTGCTTATTCTAACTGTGTTTGTGGCCTTCTGCCTTCTAGTCTTTGTCCTAAGGCGGAATAAAAAGCCTGTGGGCCGACAAGAGGGGCTGGGGAACCAGGAGTGTGGCTCGTTGTCTCTACAGCTTCGTCGCCATGGGCACAAATCTGGCAAGAAAGGGTCCATCCCTGGGGATGACTTGGGAGGTGAAACATTCATTCCCCAGACCATTGAGCACATTGGAAAGAGCCACACCTGCGGCATTGGACGCTCCTCAGACATGGATGCCGGGTTCAAGTTTGCCGACTCGCAGAGACAGAAGATCATCCTGCGAAACTGTCCCGATAAGGACAAGGACCTACTCTCCACCCTGGAGCGCAACAAACGCCTCAGCACCATCGATGAACTCGAGGAGTTTCTCCCCAACCGAGAGCCCAGCCTGTTCATCCACAACTTCTTGGACAGTAAAAGAGATTTTAACAGTATAGGGATGGGCGGGTATGAAATCCGCTATCCTGAAAAGACACTGGATAAAAAGATGAAGAAATCATCACTGATAGGTGGAAACCACAGTAAGATTGTGGTGGAGCAGAGGAAAAGTGAGTATTACGAGTTGAAAGCCAAGCTCCAAGGGACGCCCGATTACCTGCAGGTGCTTGAGGAGCAGACTGCCCTGAGTAAAATGTAGGAACTGTTTTGTTTGATGGTCAGCACTGATTACATATACATCAAGCCAACAGACAGGCAAACTCTATCTTACTTCTGTTCTCTCTAGAAGTTTCACACATACATACACACAATTCAAATCCTCTCATCTCTGGCTTTCTTTCTTCAATTCTACATCCACACACACACACACACACACACACACACGCACGTCTGTTGTCATTTCACACAGAAAAAAAAGTGCCTTCTGGAAATCCTTAATGACCAATGCAGAGATAGACAAAATGGCTCCACACTACAAAGCTATTATTAGAATCAGAGCAGATGTATTTTAGAGTAAGAGACCTTTTGGATTTTCCATGCCACTACCTGTATGAATCCCGCAAACTTACAACAGGATCCCCAAAAAACAAAAAAATCTAAATTGCAGTCGTAGTATTTTTGCTGCTATTGAAATGGATACATTTTCTTTGTTCTGTTTTTGTTCTTTTCCTCCTCCTTTTGTTGTTTCAACCAAATCAAAGGGTCTTGAAAACAGTGCTTGAGAATATACCTCGCTGCCATCAGGCCGTGTTTAGCAAAAGGAAAAAGCAGGGGAAGCGTCGGGTGTTGATCGCTTGGAGAGAGAGAATCAAGGGATTGTTGAATCTGGAATGAGGTTTTGAACACTTAATGACTTTTATGGATGCTACTTTTTCCCCCTTCTTGTTTTTTTAATTATTATTATTATTATCATTATTTTTATTGTGAGGGTGTCCACATCTGGGGATCCTCTCTGAAGTCAACAGCAGACTCTGTGCCATCTTGTCTGGATTACCCACCAGCAGCAGTACACCTGCTCTTTGCTGGGAAGATAAATGGCTCCTGTTTTGCATTAAAGGCAACTGAAGGCACTGTAAAACTTTTTTTTTTTTTGGGAATGATTTAATGACTTGCTTTCTTGTATAAAGAGCCATGTTAAATATAGTGTCTTCTGAATGGAGTTGTGTTTCTCTTTGAAGTTGCTACTTACAGTACACGTATGTTTCTTTTTTTTTTTTCTTTTTTTTTTCTGGGTGAAATCTAACGGCACATACACTGTCAGAGACATTATTTCTTGAAAAAAAAATAAACCCGAAGGAAAAAAAAAAGTTACAAAGCTGCTTGCCATGTAAGCGTAACCTGGAATTTATTTTGTAAGTCTTACATTGTTTGTATCTGTGGGACTGATTTGTAAATTACAAGGACAGACTAATATCTACACACTGATACTGTGCGACGGAGCATCTTCGAGAGACTGAGTCAGAGTGTTAAAACCAACCCATAATATATTTCAATCAGCGATCCTGCACCCCTCGCCAGCTCTCAATTCTGAGTTAAAAGAATTAACAACATAGTTCATTTATTTTTCTATGCAGGATTATTTAAGAGGTATTGGTTTTATTTAAAAGGGGCAAGAAAAGGAGCGGAGAGGACTTGACAAAACACTTCAGACAAAACACTTCAGAGCTATTTCAGGCCACAAAGAGTGACTGTTCAGTTGTTCTAAGTGGGTCTTTGCTTCTTTCCATTTTGCTGAGCAGCTTGAACCTGCAAAAACAAAAAGAGTGTGAAATGTAATCTTTAGCGTTTCTTCGCGAAAGATGACAGAACGAGGCCTGGTAGTCTACAAACCTCCTGAGCACTTTTCCTGATTCTTCAATCTCCCGCAGTATGTTGTGAAAAAAAAAGAGATTTCTTATCAACATTATGCAACCAAAATAAATGTGCATTAAACTTGATGTGCTTCTGGCATTGTTGGGCTTGGGAGAGGAGGCGTTCTGAGGCAAACAAATCGAGGCTCTCAATTATTAGACTTGGACAGAATCATATCGTAAAACACCATGTGCAATATTAGTAATAAAAAAAGAAACAAAACAAAAAAAAAAGCTCAGACATGATGGCTTCAAATAAATTTTATTTAGTTCAGGGTTATGTTGTCAGGACAAGTTCTATTTTAAAAATCTTTTATCAGCTTAACTCTATTTGGTCCTTATTTAAAAAGCAATATTAAGTTAAATTTCTGAGTGTTTTTGACATTACAACTGAGTAGAATGTATCATGAAAAGTATAATAAATACAATTTTCTATTGGTCGGAAATCTCCTGTATATTGGTTCATTTTCTCTTGTATAATCATGTTGAAATCAAGAAATTAAAATGAGCACCTATTTGCACTGTGTCCCCCTTTTTTCTTGAAGCTAAAATCCTCGTTACCTTTTTATGGTGCTTGATGAAAATGGTCCTCACGGTCCTTTCAAACTGAAAAACGCTGTTGACGCTGATGCGCTGCTGCTTGTTACATCTGGAACATTTTCACGTGGGTGTGCTCAGCTGGCAGCATTATTTAGAACGACTTGTCACACAAATTCCTTTAAAATGCTTTTCAACTGATAATTCAGACTTTAAAACTTGTTCTGAGAAGTTATTAGCAGTAATCTGTTGTGAAAAGTGGTCATATCTTTATGTCTTATGGCTCAAACAGAGAATTTAAATGTATTGGTGTTTTCTCACTTTACAAGTCAAGAGTTGCTACTCTTTAGCTTTACGTTGGCTGAAGCTATTGTTAGTATCGGTTGACCTTGTTAGCTGTGTTAGCTGGTAAGCTGTGACTCGCTAGTCCCCTCAACTCCACCAGGTGTTGCATAAACATGATATTGATGTAAAAAGTCACGTTCTTGTGATTTTTCATAGCTCTGAGAAAATGATCCTAGTTGGCTTCAGATGAACTTCATGGTCTCTTGTTAACGTATTCCAATTACTACCCACTAAAATGCAAAATTATTAATATTTTCAGTTTAGATTATCTTAATCTAAAACCTGAAGTAGAAGGCTTTCTATTTCAGGAATGAGAGCCAATACTTTCCAAACTGTTCATCCAAGGTTTTTTTGATGGGAATTTTTGAGGTTATGAACAATTCATAACTTAGCAGGTACTATAATTCTTGTGTTCAGAAGAAACAGATTTTATTTTTCCCAAAACTGAAAAAATTACAATGTGGAGATTTTTTATTTTTAAATTTCAAACATATCAAAGCAGGTGGCACAGCCTGAAGCACTGAATTGTTATTGACATAGACCCTAGAGGCGGCGAAAGCTCCCTCATCTGTTTTTACATCATCTCAGCTACAACACCAGATGGAAAATAATGATTCAATAAACCTTTCTTATATTTTGTTTGAAACTTGGACTTAATGCTTGAAACAATGAAACAACATAGAATACTTAGTGAATTAGCAGAAATTTGTCCCATTTCCATTTTGTGTGTTTATAGAGTTTGATCTTCCAGCTTCTTTGGGTACGACATGTGGCCGTGAAATTTTACATATTTATATTTTACAGAAAGGAAAGGTTCCCTACAAAGCTCAGAATTAAAAGGGTGGGGCTGAGACTACAATTGAGACAACAATGAAACACTTTTAGAAGTAATTTTGGGTGAGATTTACAAATATTTATTTCTGCAATTTATTCAAAAACGTACATTTCAAGAAAATGGACATAGGAAAGAATCAAATTGTATTGCATTTGTCCCAGATGGGCACTAAAAAGGCAAAATTATGAGCTGACCGACTGGATTTTTTGTTTAAATAAATATTGACTGATTATAAACAGTTCTGTAAAGCAGAGTTGATATAAACTTCCAGATGACTTGTGCGATCATAGTCGTTGTGTTGAGTTGGTTCAATCTACCTCGTTCGGTTTCTTTCGGCGAATCTCATTTCCACCAAGAGAAGAGATAAAATGCGTCTGGGTAAGATACTGACAACTCACAGGATTTCAACAAATCACCTGCTCCAAAAATCCTGTGTAGCCATTAAAAATTAGATAAAAAATGCAGTGTAGTATTCAACTTTGAACTGTTTCATACTGGGATTTCTTCTGTCCTCTTTTTGAGCCACTTCCTCCTCCCAGGCAGCTGCCCTCGTCCCGCCACCTGAGCGCCGGACGTTTTTAGACACTTCTATCAAAGTTTCATGCCTTTTTAGGGTTAAAAATTCCCTTCTTCTCCCTTTCTGTGGTGATCCAACCTTTCGGGCTCGTGAAAGACCCGGCAGCAGAAAGCATGACTCATCCCACACGCCAGAGAATTGTCCTCGTTAATAATTAAAACCCTTGGCAGTTATGAACTAAAAAAGGCATGTGGGGAGTTGGGTGAGGGAATCTGATACGTCCAAACTTTTTTGTCTCATCTTTTTCCTTCCCGTTCTGTCAAACCCCCGGTCATGCCGAGCTCGTCAGAGACGAGATAAATTATCCAGAAATGGCAGAAAATGAATAAAATAAAGTAAAGATAGGCATGGCCACCAAAAAAGGGGAGTCCAATGATTTTACTGCAGTGATTTTGTTTCTGTGTGTGGCCTTTTGTGAGGATGGAGGAATGATTTTCTTCCTAATTTAGCTCATTACACAGGAGTAGAAACAGAAAACATGGAGCCTTGTGGCTTTTTCCCATTTATTTGTGTTTGTTTCTCTCTCTTTTCTCTCCTCTTATCATCCTACCTGCTGCAGAGGCAGTTATGCAATCCTGTACTGAATGCCTACTGTAAAAAAAACAAACAAACAAACAAACAAACAAAATAAAATCTCCCTGTTTCAGACCATAACATATTAGTTAACTATAGTCATTTCTTTGCAGGCATCATGACTGATTGGAGGGTTATCAATGGGGAGCAATTGATGGAGAACTGCAGGAAGCAGAGATATGGAATTGGCCACTAGGGGCGCTGTGCACTTTGGATGTAGAAGCCAAGCAGCTGAGCTGAAGAACAGTTTCAGCTGGAAAAGAGTTTCGCCGAAGAAAGAAAAGCTGATTTATTTGGTTTTTGTGACTTTAACTCTCTTTTTAAACTGTTTTAAATATGTATTTTCTATAAAGCTCCTTTCAATTTCCAGGTATTAATGTAAAAAGTAAATACAGCTGATTACTGCTTTCAGATAAAATCCCAAAGAAACGACAAAAAACTGTACGTTTACGGCAAGTTTTTTTTTTGCTTTTATTGTTTCTTCACATTGAGGCTTGTGGTTTTGTTATCGTGTTAATGCTTTATCAAACATCTAAACTGGATCCAGTTTAGAAAGTGTCGGGTTCAGATCAGTTTATAAACCTGATCGAAACAAACCTGCAGGTCCAGAAAGCAGTGAAATGATTATTTCCTTTTTTTGTAAAACCGTATTTGTCTGAAGATCTTTTGTGACTAAATTAAATGACACAAAACAATCAAGATGTTGATCAAAACATAATGTTTTGGACCAAAGATTTGAGGGTTATGACTGAAATTTACTTTCCAAATAACTAACATGCTTGATCTTTTTTTCAGGTTTGAATCTATGCCTGTTTACAGATTCCTTTACAAAAAAAAAATATTATTCACTAAAATTCTGCCTGTTATATCATTGTTAAAAAGATTCATTTGAAGAACAGAAAGTAGCGGGGTAATTATGTCATGGCCTTTGACCCCCATTGCAAAATAACTTTGGACAACGGAACAAGTCTGGAAAACAAAACCAACTTCTGTAGTTATTCAGACTTTAAAAACTGCAAAGTCAAATGTGTTTCGTTTCCAGACTTTCCAGCTCTACACAAGAACTCTGAGTGTCGACTGTATGAACCGTCGTATGTTTGGAGCAACCGAACATGCAAACCAAATTCAAATCCTTTTTGACCAACAGGTAAATTTTACTATGCTACTGTAAAAAGCTGCTGTTTACTTTCACTCTTGGTTCAAATGTGGTAAAAAGACATTGTTCTGACAATAATGAACCACAATTCATATACTTCTTGGGTCTTTTAATGAATATTTTTAACCTGGTTTTCCACTTTATGTGTTTAAGAAGCGACCACACTGACATGTTATGGACCCTATCTAATCCATTTGGTGTCAAAATGTGCAAAACGTTTCAAACATACACATGGAAAGAAACAACACACTGTTTCTTTCCACCAACAAGGTTCTAGTTGAACTGTGTGGATAATTGATCAGTGTTGGTTTACCACAGATTACTGCAGGATAAACACTGATCTGCTGCAAACAAAGCAGATTAAAAACACAAACCAGCAACAGAAAAGTGAAGAGGAAAAGAAGCAAAGTGTATTTTACTCAAACATATGTTACCAACTTTTTCTCTGTTATGTCAGTATTACAGTATCAGGCTGCTATCGCTGGATAAAGGAATCTGTCTAAAGTCTGAGGAATGAATTTTTGTGTTCAAGATGCACATTCCTGGTTTTAATTTCTACATTGAGACTCTTTGTGCTGCTCTTGACATTAATAACCCCGACCTTTGAACTCCTGCTGTGCTCTAACCCAAGCCCACCTCTGTCTCCATGGCGACATGCTGGTGAAAGATCCTATATGTACCATCAACAACTGTAAATGCCAGATGTTTTAGGCATGAGTAGTCATATATGTGCATATATGGACCCAGTTTGAAAATACAGTTTCCTAACAAATATTTGAATAATTTGAGAATATTTTTATGATTCTGGTCTCCTGAAATACCAAATGTTACTATTTAAATTATGTCCATGAAGCTGGTACCAACTGGACATTTGTATAAATTTCTGTTCATTTATCTGGTGTAAGTGATTGAGCTTTTCTTTTTTTAAATTATTTTAGATATTTTTTTTTATCTCTGTCCTATAAATTTTATTTTTACATCTGTCCTAAAGTTTCAATGCTTTATTCTTCTGAATATTTTTTAATAACTCAATCTGCTGTTGTTTTCTTCTTCCTGTTTATTGAGGAAATCACCCTCAATGTGTCTAATGACCTGCAAAATGGTTTTATTTGTGTAAAAATAAAGCCAATATGTCATTAAAATGAAATAGTAAAAAGATTAGGGAAATCCCTAAAACTATAGAGTAACCACTAGAGTAATCATATTTGTTTGGTTTTAATATTACAGTTTATTTGAATGGGATTTAACCTCGCAGCTGAACAAGAGGTGTTGCATATTTGTGAACTGGAAAGCAAATAATTCATAGTTTTTAATGTTTTATGTGAAAGAAAAGCAACAAAAGATGTTTGAACCTGAAGACAAAGAAAGTTTAGCATTTTGTGTCGCCTGCTTTGCCTCTTCAAAATCACTCAACCTCATCCAGATGAGTCTGTAAACATACATTTCAAGTCTTACGTCAAATTCTCAATAGGATTTTGGTCTGGACTTTAAATAGACCAACAATAACACATGTGTTAACTGAACTATTCCATTGTAGGAATGGTTGCACTTGATTAGATTATTATTTGTTCCCAGTCTATTGATTTCATCCACTTTAAAATATGCTGGACTTTGCAACAAATTAGATTTTTTAAATTCCTTTGTTGTTTGTTTTGTGTAATTTGTGATTGTAATGTGACAAAATGTAAAAAAAAAAAAAAAAAAAAAAGAGATCAAGGTGCATGAAAGCAACCTGTTTTACTTGGTTGGTTATAGAGAGTTAGTATTCTAAAGGAAATTTAAATAACTTATTTTAACAGGATTGTGAGTTACTTAAAAAAACAGACGACCGTTTCTCCCAACTGATGAACAGTGACGTCAGTAGCACTTTACTGACATTGCGCGCACCACTTTTCTCAGTAACTAACGCTATTACTATTTCAAATCCAGTAATCAGATTAAAGTTACTTGTCCAAGTCACTTTGTGTTGCTGATTGTTACAATTTTCTTTTGTAATTTAATTTGATTTCCTCTGGCATCTTGAGGAGTGACCGCCATTTCTATGCCACAGTACCAGCAGCGACAGAAACAAACGGTTTTTGTTGCTGGACAAACAGGACCTGTTTTGAGTTCCTGTCGCCAAGTCCAATTATTATAAGCAGCTTTGGGCTTTAGAAGACGCCATTGAAATGTAGATTCTGGTTTATGTCTTCTTTGTCTAACTCAAGCAACATGGTTAAAAAAATAAATAAAGTTTTAAACTGCTTCTGCAGAGCATCAGCAATGTGACACATTTTAAAAGTCTTCCATTTCCTTCTTCCTGTCCTGCCTTTTAATTGAGCGCCGCAGCACAGCGGAAGAGAGAGCGTTCACATCGCTCCTCCAGGGCCTCTTTTTGCTCCAAGTCGACGCTATTAATTTAATTTAATTTTTCATTCTAGCTCTGCCCTGTAAATGAGATTCTCCCCCAACCCCTACTCTTTTTTCTCTTTTATACTTGGAGGTCTGTAAAGGACAATGAGATTGTGACCAAAGGGGAGATATTCACCTGCTTAAGAAGTGACACCTTCTATGGCCAAATAATTGAGTGAAGCCGACATTTCTTTAGTGGACATAATTCCATTCAGTCACCAGATCCTACTATTTTTTTTACCCCCCAATTGAAACATTAACATTTCAGGGGGAAAAGAAAATCTAAAGATACTAAATGTGTAATCTGGGGCTGTAATGATTCATTTCATTACATCGAATTTGCACGAATGTGCAACGTATCTTCCGCTTTATGTTTTCGAAGCAGCTCTGTCTCTGGGCTTTTTAAAGCTAGTCTTTTTGTTTCCGGAGCTCTGCGATGAGCTGCCTGAATCAGACCAGATAAAAAGAACTGGATCTGATGGGCTGTGCTTTATGTTCAGCTGCTTCCAAAGAACACATGAACTGCTAGTTTAGCTACCTTGAAGCAACACTGATGGATAAAATTTGGCCCCTTTATGATGGTTAAAATGTGTCTATTTGTTATCTGAACATAGAAAGTAACCAGCCTGAGTTAGCTGGGAGGGTTGAAGTCAATCTGTCATTGGTCTTGGTGGTCATAGTTTCTTTGAGAGTTAGTTTGGATGCTTTAAAGGTTCTGTGATGTTTTATTGCTAATAGTGAGCTTGACGCTTTTAAAATGGTGTTATATCACAGTGAGCTAGCTGGAAATGGTACCTTGCATTCTTCGTGTAGGCTAACAAGCTAATTAGACAGATACTATTTGTTGTAGCTAATCACCGGGGCTCATCTTCCCTCCATCCTGAACTTATACAGATCTGAGGTCAGGAAAAGAGAAGATGGCATCTCTGCAGACCCCACACATCCTAGACACAAATTTGTGGAAAACACTGTCCCTGTGTCTTTCTCTAGCTGCATTTCAATTAGCCATAAAGTTGTGCTGTTTTCAAGAGTCCGAGCTGCTGCCATCCCTGATCACTCCCCCACTCAGCTCCTTCAGACTAGCCAGCAGCAATTAGTAAATACCTGGTGAAACTGCTAAGAAGTGAGCCACTTTTCAGCTGGTGAAAATGTTAATATAGGAGCCGCGCTGTGATGACTTTCTGAAGGCGGAGCTTCAGAAAGAGCAGGAGTTTTTAAAGAGACGGAGGCCCAATTTCAAAGTGCTAAATTAAAAAAGTCAAGTTCCTCTTGATACTCAAAGCATTTTTCACAACTGAAATTCAGCATAAATACTTGATTGTGCTGTAAAGTAGGACTATGTATCTGGAAAATACATAATACTGCTCCTTTAAGAAGTTGAAAAGTTGGCTTTTAACAACCAAACCAATCGTTTATATTTGCTGAAGAGTTTTTAGCATTTTTCATTCTGTGATGTTTGAGACTAAAAGGTTTTTTGCAAACAGCCTAATCTTTCCGTCCCGTCACATCAGAACTTTATCTGTGACACTTCAAAATTAATATAATTTCCTCTTCTACTTTATGGACTGTTCAGCTAAAAATTTACCAGCAATGTTAAGAAATATTAGGTCTTTAGTTCATTTTTCTCTCTAAACATTATCTGATTCGTGTCGCCACTTCATTACCTTCTGGATTTGGCTTGGCTAAGCAGAGCAAAGAGCAAAAGTGGGACATAATAAAACATCCAAACTGTATCGCAGAGTCATGGATATGCTTTAAGAGATCATTAAACTCCCTATTATTTGGGAGATAGACCTTGAAAAATCATTGATAAACCAATTTGTGTGAGGTGTAGGGCAACCATTTGTGTATAAGGGCAAAGGGTTGTGATTAATCTGCTCATGTTTACTTGCTTGCAAACGTACACCTGTTCCCGTTTCACTGCATTGATCGGCAAAGGATCGATGGAGACGAGGGAACAATCGCAGACAAGTGGAGGAGACCTTAGAGCAGGGGTGTCAACATCCAGTACTGCAGGGACACTGTCCTGCAACTTTTAGATGAGCTTCTGCTGCACAACACCTAAATAGAATAATTACGTCATTAAGGCTCTGGGGAACTGATCTACACAAGGAGGAGGTAATTCAGCCATTTCATTCCTGCGTTTTGTACATGTGGCACATCAAAAAACTGCAGGACACTGACCCTCGAGGACTGGAGTTTGACACCCCTGCCTTAGAAACTACCCCTGCTTCTTGTGTGTGTGTGTGTGTGTGTGTGTGTGTGTGTGTGTGTGTGTGTGTGTGTGTGTGTGTGTGTGTGTGTGTGTGTGTGTGTGTGTGTGTGTGTGTGTTTCCCAGAGGCTTTTCTTTTTTGCTTTTGCTGTCCCTAATCAATAACTTATATCACATAATGGAACCCAATCCCTCAAGAACATTCCCAAAGTGATGGTTAAAACAACAACAATGGAAAAATAATAATAAAGATGGTCACCACGTAATGTGTGGCGCTCGTTAATATTTACTCACACGAGCAATTTGAGTGACCTCAAGAGAAGTCTGGGGACATGTTTTTGTTTGTTCTTACATATTCCGGCGTGGCGTTGTCCTGCTGTTTTTAGGCAAGATGTCCGGAGATCCGCAAAGACTCTTTGACAGGTGATCTTTAATTACCGCAACACCAAGAATCTCCTTGGAAACCGCCCTGAGCTGCCTCCAGTTATAGCTGCATTCATCCTTCTTCCTCTCTCTCTCTCTTTCTGTTTTGTCCGTCTCTCTCTGTCCATCCATCGTCTCATTTTGCTGTCCTCTCTCTCTCTCTTGCTGCCTCTTTGCTGTACCTGAGCTGAATTATGATCCATAGTCTTAGCAGATACATTGTGATTGATTGGGCTTTTCAGCTAACTAATGAATTGGCCCCTCAAGGACGTGTAGCAGGCCAGCTTTGGTAATAATGTGGACTCTGCTGAAGGCAGCTTAAAGACTCCTGACACCACAGATTTAGCGCTTACACTGTTTATTTGGATTTGGCCTTAGCAGTGAGCTTGTTGGGGGAGGGGGAAGCTCTGGGGGTGTCATTTTTAAATAGCCTCCATTTGCAATCCTAATTGCTTTTTAGATATTGTCTCATTTTTCTGAGCACATTTCAGCGATATGTTGTATTTTTTATGAAGATACTGCAAATTAGGTTATTCGCATCGAGACGCGTCGGGAATCTGAAAACCACTTAAAACCAATTTGAGCAGTTTAGGCGTTGCAGCGGTTTTCTGTTGGGATTTAACATTGCTCCAGTTGAAAAAACAAGTCATTGCTTTTAAATCTTTCATTTTAGCCAGATGTAAGTTTAACTACTCTTAACACTAGCAAAACATCTCAAAATAAAAAGTTTCCTTCATTTTAATTTCTTCCAAAGGGACTACGTGCGTCACAATTCTCGAAGGTTGGCAAAGTTGTGTCGTATTTCACACTTAAAATAAATCAATTCAGAAACACTTTTTGTGAGCAAAGAACAAAAAAAAATGGGCAGTATTTTATCATTTAAAGGGCAGTATTCTGTTTATTATGTATTTTTGTAGCACAAGTTGTTATAAAAATACCATGCAT